GAGTATACGTTGCCCAGGGCGCACCACGTGGAGGTAAGTCTATCACACACCCCCTGCAAGTTAAGATATAAACTTACCAATATTCGAATGTTAGTCGTATAGTCTCAGCCAAACTCAGTTGAAATCAACCCACGGTATACAGAGCTTGGCGTCAATCGATTCTATTGAGCTATTGGCCACCACAAATTGACTCATTTAATCATTCCTGAGCAAAGCTCAAATAAGACTCAAGGTTGCATTCAGGTAGAGAGAAGAAAATAGTTTCATTTGCTATATATATAACATCACATGGCAGGCGCTGTGAAAGTTATCATTAGCCCTTTAGTTGACTTCAGGCTTCACAGAGGAGGAGGAACATCAAAGTGAAACAAGTCGAGAGGGAGAGGGGGAACAGAAGACAGTTTCAAGGATGTAAGAGAGATAGACACACAAGTGGAAAAAGGTGAGGTGAGTACTCTGAAAGTAGTCGAATATGACATACAATGGGGTGAGGTTAGTTTGAAGTCAGAAGTCAACTGCCAGTTAACAGACTTTTTTTGGCGTATGAGTATACGTTGCCCAGGGTGCACCATGTGGAACATGTGGTAAAATTTGAAAGCATTGACAACTATAAAATTCAATTCCTTTTGAACTGGAGATTGTAAAATCATCTGGATTCAACTAAACCCTCTGAAACTAAGAAGGTGGAAGTCTGAGAAACACGATTTCTACTGATGTCATGTAACTTAAAAACGATTGTAGAAATGCCGGAATGAAAGCACATTTGACTATAGATATTCGTTTATGATGATTGTCTGTGAACGCAAATATACCCCTTATTATAATAATTGCCTATTGTATCCTGGAACTAACTGTTCAAGTGCCTTAAATTTATAGAGAGCTAAGAAGTACCACTCTAAAATTTCAGAAAGAAATCGACAAATGTGACCTTTTTCTCCCTCGATAAATTAAGATCTTGTAAGTTCTGAATATGCATATTTTTACTACACCGTGAATCGACTATGTATCGATTAATTAGATTGTATTAATTGCCCATTGGCTAAGCGAAGATCAATCAACCGCAATACAGCAGATCAATAGACACTTAATAAGTTCTAATTCCTATTATCTTGTACAAAACGCATAGTTGTCAGAATAAATGTTTACATATTGGGGAAATGACTGCGCCTCACACTTACACAGCTCCTCCTTTAGTTGCCTCTTATTAATCCCATGTTTGTCTGAATTTTACGATCACTCTCCACCCCCACCCCCACCCCCCAATTTTAACGTATCCTCTCAGTCTCCGGAGCCTTAAATCGTCCCTTTAACCTTACTGAAGTTGTCATTGGACGGAAGCAACTAATTGGAGTGGAACCAATGACTGTCAGAGTACAGAAGACGATAATTATATTCGGTCTTAGCTTGACCAACCATAAGTTCAACAAATCAGCGGTAATACATTACAGTAAATAGGCCTAGATAAACCAAAGTCTTGATATTGTCATTTGCATTTCTATTTTTTTTAAAAAAACTGGTAAATTAATCGCTTTTATTTTAATTTTTAAAAAACCACGTTAGCTGCTGAAACCCGGCCATCTATCTAACGTAAAGTCAAGTTGCGCGCGCACAATGATCACAATGAAAAAAATTTCTATCAAAATTTCTAATAAAATCAGCTGAACTATGATACACACTGACACCGCTTTGGGTGGTGAGCGTGGTGCTGTATTTGGATTGGTCAAACAGTAATCCCACGTTTGCACGTTTAGCGCCCGCAATCAGCATGCAAGTATCAGCACAATTAAGTTGTCATTAGTACAACTATCGATTGTAAAAACACTCCTCACACATTCAGTGGACATTTGTAGCAGATATTCTCAATATCGATCCATGTGTTCACTTGCTACGCGGCACTATGAGCCCCTTTCATAATTACTCAACCAAAGTGAATTCAACGTTGCTGCCCCATAACCCATCAAATTGCGGTTGTCAAATATATAAGGAATTGCCGCATAGGGCTGAATTGCCCTCCTCCACTCGAATTTGCTTCCGTGTCTACTGTCTCTGTTATGTCCTTGTTATCATCACCTCTTTTCTACATAGAACTGAACTCGAACGAAAACGACTGGACAATTCTCATCACATTTCAATTTGTTGCACTTATACAATGTGTCATATCCCCAACTCCCAGAATAGCCCCGTGGTGATAAACAAAGAAAGGACTCACTGTCTAAAACCTCAACGCCTAAGAAGATGGTTCGTTTACTTCCTTCTTTTCTTCCAAAGTTTAACGCTGACAATTTCGCCGACGGGAGCTTCTGAGCAAGAATCTTTAAATAATTCCACCATCCTTGAAAGAACTCTTCGAAGTACCATCAACTTACGCAAAGTTGTGAAGGTTGATTCCTACTATTTAAAAATTGTCGATGGAAATCTTAAAAAGCCTCAGCAAGAACTTTTCGCCAATATTCGAGAAAATGGAAGCTTGGAACTGTCGCATAAACCAAATGGTGAGTTAGCCTTGGAGTATTGGTCCTTATTATCCACGACAATGCTTAAAACTAAGGCAATTTTTAATCAGGGACAAGCCACTGAACACGCCAGGAACGAAATGGAATATTGTAAACTGGAGGGTATAATGAACTCAGGATTTTTTGAGTCAAAACTTGAATTCTGGGGGCATTGGGTTGTCCACTTTCTTAAAGGAGGAATAATTCATTATTTCATTGTCCAAATGTTCCAAAGACCCAATATCTTGATGTCATGTCGAATTCGTGCTGCACAGTTGATCTAATTAAGTTGTAACTATTGCCAATATGGTTAAATTAGTGCTTTTTTAATTTCCTTAAGTTGAGAAAACCAGGGAGCTAATGACTTTCGATAATAATTCTTAAAAAATTCATTTTTTATCAATTATTTTTATACATGTAATTAGTGATTGATTTAACTATCAATTTTTATTTTCTTAATTCTTTTATAGATAGGGAAAAAAAGAACAGTATTTTGAACCACAGTAGTTTAAACGCATGGCCTCTTTGTTAGTCATGAAAGGTGTATACCCCAATATTGAAAGTACAGACCGTTCATGTGTGTGTGTGTGTGTGTGTTTGTGTGTACAATTCAGGGTGGTCTCAGATTTGGAGGCATTTTCTTTCTCCTGTAGACATTTTGTATAGCATGACATTAGCATGTTGAATGTATGTGGGGAGATGTCTGTCATCCTAACTTTGGCTCTTTTGTTGGGGTGGGGGTGGGGGTGGGGGGCGGAGGGGCGAACATACGACCATATCCTCCTAGTTGTATACACTTTCAGTTCTAAAAAATCCATCCACACACACACACACGCACACAAGCCTGACCTCTTAGGTCACTTTGGTGTCTAGGCCAGCAGTTGAATGGCTACTGTTGTCTTTAATGTCAGTCAACTGGGATTTTGGACATTGGAGATGAATTTCTAAAGTAATAATTAAACTTGCCTAAGCGATATAGACTTGTTATTATAATTTGTCTTTAATTTTGGACACTTGTATTGATTGCTATGAACAAAGAGTTGAAATCACAGCGCACAAATCAATTTTATTTTGCTAACTACCAGGAGGTGGCTCACTTTTCACATTTTTCACAATGAAAGGAGAGTAATTCCACGGCCCCACCCCTTTCTCCCCCCCCCCTCCCCTTCCCCTCCGCCTATAAGGTTTCATACAGAGTCCATTATTATTGATCATATTTGGGCTTTTTATTACTAATGAGGCATGTCGATTATTCCACCAACATTGTTATGGCATTTTCTTGAAAGCATTACTACACTTCCCTTAGTGTAGGCTAATTGATGATACTGATTAATATTTCAGATGGCAATATTTTCTCGAAAGCAGCATTGTTCTTCTTCTACGCAACTTTTCTATTTACCCTCACCATCTCTCTCTCTCCCGGTTTGCGTGGACAAAATAAGTTAGACCAATTCGTTGCTTTGTTAACGAGCAGGTGTAACCTCTACTGC